ATATTCTGAAATTAAGACGTTTAGTTTTCGTAGCGCTGAAATTATAGTTGTTTGCGTGTATATCACGTTTTATCAAGCAGTAGAAGGGGAATGATATGCATACAAGCAATTATCTGTGGTGCTCTCCATTAGCAAAATGTATTAATTTTGGAATATTGATGCGGTTAATTATTTGGCTACCTGCGATTATTTCCATAAGTATCGAGAATATTTGGATGGTCTTCCTGATATGTTAGGCCCTAATGGGATGATGCTTTTACTGGCAGTATGAATCGTTCTTACACAGATAGCCCCTTAAAGCTATATATTTCCTTCTTTTCAATTAATTAGTGAACCTTGTGTGTGTGGTGGGGGTGTGTGTTGGGAGCACAGTGTCCTCCTTATGGCTTTGTTCTAACTTAATATAAAGGCGAAATTTTAGGCTGAATTAACCCATTCTGCTTAAAGCAGTTTTGGGCCCCCTTCCCCATTCTTGGTGTGCACTTGTGAAAAAGGGAAAGCAGAGGAGGTGGTTTTTATGCCCCACTTTTCTCTACCTTAAGAAGTCTCAGAGTGGCCGGCAATCACCTTCCCTTCCCCTCCGCACAACAGGCACCTTTCCCTCCGCACAACAGGTGGGGCTGAGAGAGCTCTGAGAGAACTGTGACGGGCCCAAGGTCACTCAGTAGGCTTCGTGAGGAAAATTTTAAATGCACATCATTCAGCTTTCTGAATTGATTCACACTAGGGCTGCCAAATCGGGCCGGGGGGCGGGGAAACCCCCGCTTTGGAGGCCCGATTTCCGCCGCGGCGGAATTGGGCCCCGGGGGAAACCCTACCCCCGCGTGCACATCACAGGGAAGTGACGTCATGACACCGGGCACACTGGGGGCAGGGCCACAGCCATTTGAGGGGGAAACTCTGTTTTCCCCTCAAATGGCTGTGGCCTCGCCCCAGCGGGCCCGGCGTCATGACATCACTTCCCTGTGACGTGCATGCGGCGCGCACGCTTTGTGCGCGCGCCCACATGCCAGGAGCCGGGCTGGAGTCCCCCGCCACAAGGGTAAGTGCCGTTTGGCAACCCTAATTCACACCCATGCAGAATGGTTGATTGAGAACCGCATTTTACTGTCGAGCAAAATTCAAGTCCAGTGGCACCTTAGACCAACATTTCCCAGGGCGTAAGCTTTCATGAATCAACGCTCACTTCATTAGTGAGCTTTGACCAAGAAAGCTTATACCCTGGAAACACGTGTTGGTCTTAGTAGTAGCAGTAGTTGTCATTTATTACGGTCTTTAGGTAAGCATACAGTTTAACCAAACATAAAATACAGTCATAAAGTTTTTGAATTTAAGAACTTTTAAGGCGCAGTTCCCGTAATTTGAAAATTAATGCACAGAATTTAGCAACTTGGCATGTAATCTTAGAATTATTATCAGATAAATAGCAGTGAAGCCTTGTGTTGGCCTTTAACGTGCTACTAAACTCAAATTTTGTGCTGCTGCTATAGCCTAACACAGCTGTGCATGTGTGCGGAAAGTGCCCTCGAGTTGCCGCTGACTTACAGCAACCCCTCATGGGGTTTTCGAGGCACGAGATGTTCGGCGGTGGTTTCCCATGGCCTGCCTCTGTGTAGAGACCCTGTACTACTTTGGTGGTCTCCACTCAGGAATTTACCCTAATATTTCAGCCATTGTGACAATTCTCTGCCCATGTACAGGGATAAAGCTGCAGAACAGTAGCTGGTAGAAAGGAAGGAGCTGAAAAGGGAGCCATCAAGCTCCAAGCACAGAACACTGAAGCTCTTGGTTCTGCTAAGGACTCTGGCCAAGTCAGGACAATAGCCTAACCCCCCTCACACCCTCCTGCTGGGTCACACCCAAAAGGGATAGAGTCCGCTAAGAGCCAAATGGCTAGAAAGTAAACTCCTTTTGGGACAGGAAGATCCAAATGACCCCCAGGGGGAACAGACTCTTCAAGGTAGATTATAAAACATCAAGACACAAGGAACCCTGTCTTATGCTCTTGTTATTGGATGGGTACATGCCATGTAAAGGTAAAGGTTCCCTTGCTCGAAAGCCAGTCGAATCCAACTCTAGGGTTGCGGTGCTCATCTCCGTTTCAAAGCCGAAGAGCCAGCGCTGCCCGAAAACATTTCCGTGGTCATGTGCCCGGCATGACTAAACACCAAGGCACACGGAACGCTGTTACCTTCCCACTGAAGTGGTACCTATTTATCTACTTGCAATTTCTTGCTTTCGAACTGCTAGGTTGGCAGGAGCTGGAACTAGAGATGGGAGCTCACTCCATCATGCGGCACCTGGGTCTCAAACCGCTGAACTACTGGCCTTCCACAGCCTGCAGTTCAGCGTCTTATCCACTTGAGCCACCGCAGCTCCACATGCCATGTAGGACTAAGCTTTTACCTAGGGACTCCATCTTGTCCTTGCAGCAGGGGACACAGAGAGAAGCCCAGTAGTGCTGAACTTTAAACGATTGCAACTTCAAGAAAACCTAGCCTCTCCTATTCATCAGGATAAGAACCTAGCGTAGGGTAGGGAAAGGGTACTGTGTGTTTTCGCCTTTTCTTTGTTCCTTTGCTCTACCTGAAATGTGTGAAAAGGCCACGTGTAACCTTTTTATTCATGCATTAAACTTTATAATATTTTGAAAGCTCTAAGTCTGATCTCTGGAAAAAAAACCTCCATGCCTGTTCAGTCCTGTGGTAACGGGATCAGGTAGCGAGTCAGCTCACCTTCCCTGGAGCTTCATAGTGGGAATGTGTGGAGTTATGGTAGATTGCCCTCATGCTAGCTTGTGGAGCGAAGTGGGCAAGCGCAGCGAGTAGGCAGAGCCTTTAAACAGTGTGCTGACTGTCTCTGGTGAGATACTCTCAGAGTTATTTGTGGTAGTGGGCAGTGTTCCCTCTAAGCTGAGTTAGTGTGAGTTAGCTCACAGTTTTTTAGCCTCCAACTCACAGATTTTTGTCTGAGCTAAGAAAGGGATGGCTCCAGAGCAAACTAATTTATGCAGGAGCCAAATCGCTCGCTCACAACTTTAATGCCAGTAGCTCAGTAGCTCGCAAAGTAGAATTTTTGCTCACAAGACTCCACAGTTTAGAGGGAGCATTGGTAGTGAGTGGATACCAGTTTGTTTTCGGCACCCCTGGGAAGTGAGGGGAAGGGACAGCGTTGCCAAGCAAAGACTTGACTCTGCCGGGGGTGGGGGGGTGTTCCAACTTCGGGGCCACCAGACAGAAGCAACAGGAGGGGATCGCGAATCCATTTTTTCACAGATGTATAAAAGAAAACGGTCAGGGATTAGTACTTCAGCCATTAATTTCAATCCCAATAATTCATTGTATTAAATAGTAACAAGCTAAGCGGACCGTGTTTGGTGAAACTATCTGCTAAGTCTGAGGACTGTCTCTCAATATTTATGAGACCTACAACCAGTGTTCCCTCTAAGCTGAGTCAGTGTGAGGTACCTCATAATTTTTTAGCCTCCAGCTCACACATTTCTGCCTTAGCTCAGGAAGGATGGCTCCAGAGCGAACTAATCTATGCGGTAGACAAATGACTCGCTCACTACTTTCATGCCAGTCGCTCACAAAGCAGAAGTTTTGCTCACGAAGACTCCACAGCTTAGAGGGAACATTGCCTACAACAAGTAGACCTGCTGAGGGTTGCTCCCTTAGCTATAATCCCAGTGCAATCCTAAAGAGTTCAAAGGGGGTGTAACTCTCTTTAGGATTGCACTGTGATAGTGGATAGTTTTACCAAACACAGTCCCCCCCTCTCCCTTCAGTTAGTATTATTGATTAAGTGATAGCCTGATAAATCCCAAAACTGTAGGAAGCGAGAACAGATATGCTTACTTTAAGAGTTGACAGGTGGCCAAGAATTCCATAAGATAACAGTCTTCTTGGAAACAGTTCTAACTCGGCAGCATCCCGCTTCAAGGACAGCCGCTTAGGGTGCCAGCTGTCCTTTGCCTGCAGACCTCCGGTTCGTACAGGTGTTACAGCTTTTGGCTGCCTCCAGTGATCTCGCGGAAGAGGAGCAGGTGGCTTCCCCCTCGGTGGTTGCCCAGAAAACTGGCCCCTCTCCTCTGAGATGCACTGCAGTGATTTTTCCCAGTGGGGTTCAGCGAGCTTCTGGGGTGGGAGGAGCTTGGGTGGAATGGCCCTCTCCTTTGCAGCCCCGCCAAGGTTTTGCACAGCTGGAGCAGATTTGGGGTAGATTTCAAGCCAGCTCAAATTCAATATTTTTTTTTAAGTGAATTTGAATTTGTCACAATGTTAACCAATAATGGTGGTGTTGGATCTCGGTAAGGGGAGAAAACAGGTTGAAATACTAATCAGATTACCTTAGCCATTGGTCGATAGAGGCTGCCTAACAGAGGCCTTGGCTTGAGGGCCAAGAACCTCACACCCAGGGACTCTCCTGTCCGGCCCTGCCCAGAGTTTAGGATCAGCAAGGAGAAGGGAAAACGTTCGCCACTGGGCTTCTTGGAAAGCGCGCGTCAAAAATCGAAATTCTGAGATTTTATTTGGAAATCTAAAAGTGCATGCTTCACCAATTCCTCAATTTATATTTTTTTAAAAAATCAGAACTTCCGTGGGTATCCTTTTGCTGAAATAATTTAACAGAGCGCCTTCCTTCTTCTGCAAAGTGTTCGAATCTGTGTCTTCAGAGCTGCAATGAGTACGCGGCAGACAAGACGTGAGATAGCTCCCCCTAGTACCCCAAAAAGGGCCGTGTGACTCTCTTCTCCCCAGACCTGTCCCTGCGGAGGTAGGTGGCCCACCCTTGAACCTTCCGGAGGCGCCTATTCCTCTGGTCCCCTTGCAGGCTTTTAGAAGTCATCAGCAACACGAAATTGCCACTTCCTTCCTGTGCGAGCGCAGGGCTAGGCCCGTCTTCTGCTGCGTGAGGCTCACTTGCTGGAAAAGCCACCCATGTGATGCAGCCGTTTCCTGTGCATTTCCTGGCCTCTGAGGTTTGACGTGCGACGGGTGGCAGTGGTGCTCACCTTCCATCTCTGGCGCTGCCTTGCCTTGTCGGCTGATCGATTCGCTCTGGAGGGTTAACTATGTTGCGCCGCAAGCCATCCAATGCCAGTGAGAAGGATCCGAACCAGAAGAGGAAGGTGAGTGTGGGAGACACAGGGAACATCGCCGCCGCCCCTTAAGAGCATTAAGTCTCTGCAAAGGTGGCCATGGCAGCTGAGCATCGCTAACCTGAGCATGGCCAGTCAGGGGGAGCCCAAAGCCCAAGCAAGCCAAGTGGTCTCTCTTGGGGCCATCACATCCTTTGCCAAGAGAGGAGGGGCATCCCTGCAACTCTTGCGGTGGCACGCAGCTGCAGAGGGCAGTGAAATGCGTCGATCCGGCGGACGCGTATTAAGCCAGGTTGCCGGTTTGATTTCTAGGATCCGTTTGCTGCGAGAACAGCTGCCATCTTGCGAGGGGGTGAGGGGTTCCCTTAGCAGTGGCCCTGTTCGCTCAGTGATATGGCCGGCAGTAATTCAACATGGAAACCCTCCCCCCCCCCACTGCAGCTCCACACCATGGGAAATGGCACCTGTTGAGACTCTGCTGGGGGGGGGCCAGGGAATGGGGCCGGCTCTCCCTGGATCTCAGGACCGTAGCACTGGAAGTGGGGAGCGAAGAGGGGGAGCTCAGTGGTCCTCCCCTAAAAGCCAGGGAGGTCAACATTCCACTTTGTCTGTCTTCCCCAGGGATGGGTTTTCTTTCCTTGTTGGAGAGGCGCTGTTTCGTCCCCCTCTTTCAAACGTGCTCCTTGCCTCTCTGAGGGCCACAAACATACAGTGTGAAATTCCCAATGAACAGCACCCTTTCGAGAGTTAACCGGCTTACGGAGGACTGAGCTTTGCTAGGCAACAGTTCATTTTGTCAGCTGCATCCACGTAGCATCGTCTCAGGCCACTGAATGCCTCTGATGAAACAGGCGGCTGCCGAGCAGATCTCACGCCGCATTAAACCCCTTCGGCTGAGTACCGGCAAACAGCGTTTTCAGAGAAAAGTGGTTCACTGTGCACTGCATGCACTTCCATTCTGATTGTACCACTGTGGGCTCTTGGTCAAATCGGCTTTGTGGCTTTTTGTAGTGCCCAGGGCTGTACCCGGGCACAGCTGAAACCAGCTTGCAGAAGTATGGTCAGTGCAACAGATGAGCGTACGGTTGGGCGTACTGCTCTGTGGTTCCCATTCTTCCAAGGAAGAGGGCATGCACAGTTCACTCCGGGTCATAGCAATGATCAGCTTTTGCACTGGTGTGGGCTGAGAGCTATCTGGTCTTGACACTGCAAATCTGTGGGGAGGGGCTGCTGCAAATCCCCCCCCCCTCCCCGCTTTGCTGAATGCAATGAGGTGTGCATTCTGGTCCTCTGACATTTGCATTTCCAGACCTTGAAAGCTCAGCAGCTCGATGGTGTCTGCAGTTCCTCTGTTGTGAAGTGGGTAAAAAAAACCAAAAAAAACCAGCCCAGAAACTTCCCCCACATTTGCTTCTCTCCCAGGTGTTCGAGTGTCAAGGGGTGCAGGCCGCTAAGCCACTTCCTCTGCTCACTGCTGATTAAGTGTCAACTCGGAGCGGCTTTCGAAAAGAAGGGCCCGAGCCGGCAGACAGAAGTGTGGGGCCCAAGGATGTGGGGAAACGGCCAGGCTGACTTAGATCAGCAATCCTGTCTACAGTCTCTCTGCTCTCTCTGACAGCAGGCCACGCCGAGCGCCCCAAAGCGAGTCTTAAACATGGTCAGAGAGGTGTAGCCTGTGCTAGCAGAGAGAGAAATGGTCGGGGGCCACTGCCCAAGATGATTCAGAGACACAGCCGCAGTCTTTCTTGGGAAACAGGTGGGAAACTTTCTCCCGCTTTGCAAATTTTTTTCCTTTTTGCAAAATAAATGGGGAGTCACAATCAATGTTCCCTCTAAGCTGTGGAGTCTTGTGAGCAAAAATTCTACTTTGTGAGCTACTGGCATTTAGGCTGTGAGCAGGTGATTTTGCTACTGCATTAATTAGTTTGCTCCGGAGCCGTCCTTCCTGAGCTGGGACAAAAATGTGTGAGCCAGAGGCTAAAAAACTGTGAGCTAGCTCACACTAACTCAGCTTAGAGGGAACACTGGTCACAATGCTGGCCACATTACACTGGAAGGAAGTACCTCCCCTTTTGGCTGTGTCCAGATGTACCCAGAATGTTGTCTCACGGACAGCAGGATCGGGGAGGCGTTTGCCCCTTCCGTCCACCGGCTCGGGCTTCCTCAGAGAGGCCATCTTTCTAGTCAGTGAAGGAGACGTGCGTCACACAATCCGAAGAAATGATCTCTGAGTCATGGCAGTTCCGGGCAGACAAAAGGTGGTTGCTCCTTAAGGTGCCCCTTGGACTTCTGCTTTTAGCTTGCCCCAGTTTTGGCCAATTCTAGCCTAGTTTTTAACCTGCCCCTCAAGAGCAGAGGAGGTGATGTGGGCTCACAGTGTGCCCTGCTTTGATTCCACGTTCCACCCCTGGCATCTGCACTTAAAGGACCTCCCTCTACCTTAAAGAACCAAAAGTAGGCAAGACTGAGAACTGTAGCAGGCTGTGTTGAGTCCACTCGTCCTTGGCGATGACCTCTGTTTTCATCAGGTGGTCTTGTTCTTCTCTGTTTACCCATCGATCTCTTGCTTCTTCCTCCAGCTGTCTCTACAGCGCTCCAGCAGTTTTAAGGACTTTGCCAAGAACAAGCCGAGCTCGCCCATTACAAGCGAGAAGGAGTTCAGCCTGGAGGAGGAGGTGAGTCTCCCTGCTTTGCTCAGCCTTGGTGAGCTCTGCCACCCACCTTTGGCTTGACAGCTGCTCCCCAGCACACGCTGCATGACCCCAGGGTTAGCTTCTTCTCTGGCCGGTAGCTATGACGGGGCTATTGGGGGGCTCTGCCCCCTTCCTTAAAGGGCCCCTGCTTCTTCCCAAAAGCATTTAAAGGGATCCTTTAAATGCTTTTGAGAAGAAGTAGGGGAGTGACACGCCTCCCTCCCCCCCTGCAAGATTTAAAGGGCCCTTCAGCTGATCAGCAGGGAGCATGTGCTCCCTGCTGATCAGCTAAAGGGCCCTTTAAATCTTGCCGGACGGGAGGGAAAGGGGGGGGCGTGTGCCACCCCCCTTCATTATGGCAAATAAGGGCAGCCCCACTAGAAAAAAAATTGCCCCACGAGCCACAAAATCCTGGCTACGGGCCCGCTTCTTGCTTTCCAGTTTGGTGTAGTGGTTAAGTGCGTGGACTCTAATGTGGGAGAACCGGGTTTGATTCCCCACTCCTCCACTTGCACCTGGCTGGATGACCTTGGGCAAGCCGTAGTTCTGTCAGAGCTGTCCTTGAAAAAAAAGCAGTTTCTGTCAGAGCTCTCTCAGCCCCACCTACCTCGCAGGGTGTCTGTTGTGGGGAGGGGAAGGGAAGGGAAAGGAGTTTGTAAGCCGCTCTGAGACTCCCTTGGGTAGTGAAGGGCGGGGTATAAATCCAATCTCCTCCTCCTCCTCTGCACAGGACCTTTGTCACTCCTCCCTTTGCACCTAGATGCTGTCATTTTAACAACCTTCAGTCCAAGCAATGGCAGTGGGTGCCAATTTTCCTTCTTTGCCGGTCAGCACCCTGAACCAAAACGGTGTCTGTTTTCCAGTGCCATTCCCTGGCCTGCACGTGCTCCATCAAGGGGACCATGGCCTGAACTATCCCTTTCCGAAATCCCACAGCTGGTCAACATAGCAGCCATCTTCATTTGATATTGGATCACCGTGAAAAGGGCCAGGCTCGGAAGATACCAATTAGACACAGCATTGGATGTTATCCCCAGCCCAAAGGAAGTCCGCCTAGCCTCAACCAGGGCCATGGCTTTTCCTGCCCCGGCCTGGTGGAATCGGCTCCCGCGGGAGATCAGGGCTGTGCGGGACATTTTATCGTTCCGCAGGGCCTGTGGAACGGAGCTGTTCCGCCAGGCCTTTGGGTAGGAGGAGGCGTCCATCTTAGTTGGCCTCCCTGCTTTAGTTCCCAATCTACTGAAATGCTCTGATTCCACCTAGATGACCCAACAGTCTGGATTTTACTGTTTTAATTATTTTAATGTAATTTTATTGCAACTAGTCTTTGATTCTGTTTGTTGTGATCTGCCCTGAGCCCGCTTTGGGGAGGGCGGAATAAAAATCCAATAAATATACCCACCCCCACCTTGCTGCAAGACCAGCTTCCCCTAAGCCAACTGCCTCTCTGTTCAGGTCCCAGAAGGCAGCCCTACAAATGCTCTGCCCAGTCCAGATGACTCCGGGCGAAGCAGCAGCTCGAAGCTGGGCAGGAGGTGGAAAGCTGCCATCTCTCGCACCATGAACCGGAAGACGGGCAAGGCTGCAGCCAGAGCCTTGGCTGAACAGGTGAGCAGTGGCGCTGTGCTGGGGGAAATCCTCTGGCCAGCCGTGGTCTCTCTCATAAAGCACCACAAGTACCAGGGTTTCCAAAGACAGCTGGGGACAGGCTTCCAGGCCTTAAATGTGGGGATTTGGGGATGGGGAGGGAGTGCACCATCCAAGACTGCCATTTCCGCCCCGGGAACTGATCGCCATAGTGTGGAGATCTGGTGTAATTCTGGGAGATCTCCAGTGCCCTACCTGGGGGTTGGCAACCCTATGAGAGCAAAGTGGGCACGAATGGTAGGAAATCTCGCCCTATTCCAGGGGGAGGCTGACGAAGAGACGGCTGCATCTCTCCTGAACAGTCCTATGGAGAAAGAGGCCCTCATCTTCCCGGAACCGACAGATCTTCACTCGCCTGGCAGTCCTCAGAGCCCGAGTGGTGAGTGTGGCAGGGCCTAAAACTCAGTTTGAGGATGGTAAGAAATGGCACAGTTGTCCCCTATCCCAGCACGGAAGGTATGCGGAACCGACTTCTGACGTTACACTGCTGCAGACTGCGTTTGGGGGGGATCACATAATTTTTAAAAATCCCAGCGCAAGGTTCCCTCTAAGCTATGGAGTCTTATGAGCAAAAATTCTACCTTGTGAGCTACTGGCATTAAAGTTGCGAGCGAGCAATTTGGCTACTGCATAACTTAGTTTTCTCTGGAGCCCTCCTTCCTGAGCGAAGACAAAAATGTGTGAGACGGAGGCTAAAAAACTGTGAGCTAGCTCACATTAACTCAGCTTAGAGGGAACACTTGGCAGGCCAGAGAAAAGAATTCAGTCCAACGTGACATGCTAGCTTTCTGTGGACAAGGCAATTTTCTTTTGTCTGGAGGAGCTTTTTATCGCGTGAGCGGCTTGCCTCCGGTCTAAAGCGATCCAGGTTCGACACAGTTTTGTCAGATCACTGTGAGAACCAGCCGGGCCCCTTTGTTTCAGTGTTAGAAGGCCCTTCGGGAGGAGAGACTGCAGAGCAGACAAACAAACACAAGCATTTAGCTGTGTGCGGGCTGGCCCCATTTTGCCCCACCCTGACTTCACTTGAGCCAAAGAGCACAACCCCATAGCTGCTCCCACCCATCTACCACTACCACGAGATTCAAACGTGCCTTCTGAAGCATAAGGCCTTCCCGGGCTCTGCTTCTTGCTGGTTAAGAGCAAGGGGGAGCCGCCTTTGCCCGTCCACCACTCCTGGGACTTGCCTCTGGGCGGGTCGGCTCAGCCTTGCCAGACAAATCATTTTTTCTCTGTCTCACCTCCCCCCCCCCCCACCAACAGTTTGCCCTGCAGTCTGCTCGCTCGGCTTCCAGAACACACAATGTCAGCGGCTGCAGCTCCCCTGCTCTGTTGAATGACAGGAAGGCAAGGCACGGTCGTTGCCCCTCCGCCAGAGCTCTCCCCTCCTTTCTTTTGGCTTTTACACTGAAGACCCCATCCCAGTTATTTAAAGGGGGGGGAGGGAACCCTCAAAGGGCCGGAGAGCAGGGCATGAGCAAACGGGTGGATTTTGCACGCTTCGTTGGAGGGGAGACTTTTCTGATTTGGTCAGAGTGAACGGAGAAGCTGGAGGGGGTTCCCCCCCCTCCCCTCCTTTTGCTGTGATGCATGACTTGAGCTGCGTGGCTCAAGTGGTTAAGACGCTGAACTGCAGACTGGAAGGTCGGTAGTTCAGCAGTTCGAGACCCGGGTTGCCGCATGACGGAGTGAGCTCCCGTCTCTAGTTCCAGCTCCTGCCAACCTAGCAGTTCGAAAGCAAGAAATTGCAAGTAGATAAATAGGGACCACTTCGGTGGGAAGGTAACAGCATTCCGTGCGCCTTGGTGTTTAGTCATGCCGGCCACATGACCACGCAAACGTCTTTGGACAGCACTGGCTCTTCGGCTTGGAAACAAAGATGAGCACTGCAACCCTAGAGTCAGACTCGACTGGCTTTCGAGCAAGGGAACCTTTACATTTACTTTACTATGACTATATTACATGTCGCTTCTTGCTCTGGAAGTACCGACTTGCGCAGCTGGCTATGTGCTTACACAGCACCCTACGTTCCAGACTGAGCGGGGGGGGGGCTTGGGCAGGATATGCTTTTTGCCTCTCATGAGTCTGCGGACTGGCGTGTGGACGGATCCCTCCGGTGTGGCAGCAGCCACGGCCAGTTCACTGCGAGACCAGGTGGCGCCTGCGCTTGTTCCCAGCAAGCATAGAACTCAGTCGTAGTGTGTGCAGCGCCGGGAGAAACTCAGCCATTTCCCTTTTTTGACAAAGAGGAGGATGCTTTTGTCTTTCGAGCTGCAGACTTAGAAATATTGGGGGGACGGTTTGATACTTGGTGAGATCTCTTTCCCCAGGCAGAAAGCAAGAGGAAGGAATGGAGATTGTTCCTATCTGTGCCATCTTCTTCCCCTTCACAAACCGAACCCACCCACCACACTTCGCTTCCCTTTTCCTGGCCTGAATAATCCTCCTCCTCCTCTTCCAGTAGGCGGTGGATTGTTTGATCCCAAACTGACGAGAAGCATCGGCGTCGAGAAGAAGGCGGAAGAGGACAGCCCCGCGCTGTACAGCGGCCCTTTCTGCGGCAGAGCCAGGGTTCACACGGACTTTCTCCCCAGCCCCTATGACAAAGACTCGCTGAAACTTCAGGTGGGTCACTCTCCTGCCCTGCAGTTCTGCTCCTGGCTGCCAGGGGTCCCTCTCTTTCAAATACCGCGGCCTCTTTCAAGCCAAAATATTCAGTCGCGTTCAGCATTTCTGAGGACGAGGAGGTCTTCCCGCTGTGACTGCCGGCGCCCCGGGGGCTGAAAGATGTGGATTCTCTGGCTCAAAGACCAGGACTAAAGCAAGGAGGGAAGCCCAGGCCCCACCCCCTTGCATGCATTTTAGTTCCGCTTCACCCCCCTCCCCAACATCGCTGTCATCTGCAATAATTCTGTCTGCGGCAGATTAACCACTGTTAGGGGAGGAAGGGGTAGCTTAGCTCAGCTCTTATCTCCCCCCCCCCCGTTTTTAAAAAATGATGCCCTCAAGGCATCCCTGCCTCATTGGGCTCAATGGACTCCACCACCCCTTGCAGGAAGAATGTCCCTTTGCCAAGCTGGCTGCCTGCCCCCAACATGCCATCCCTCCGGCACGATTGCTTAGCAGCTCTGCTGTTTCTAATTTTAAAATCCCCCGTGATCCTTGTGGCCGGTCAGCGTTGCTCCTTCCAATGCTCCTTTCCCTTGAGAGTGCGAGCGACTGACTGGTCCCGGCTTCCTGGCTTCAGTGCAGACGGCTGACTTCTGCCACAGCTGAGGGAGAGGCCTTGCCCTTTGTTACTTGGGCATTTGAATATGTGTCTGATTCGGAGTCGGGAGTCCTCACAAACATGGGAAGGCGCAACCAGGCCCCTCCTCTCCAGCCCTTTAGCCCTGCCCTACCCCAGACAGGAAATGCCTGCAGGCCACAACAGCGCTGCCTGGACCCACCTCCGCCTTTCCTTAGCCTCACTGTGCCAATAAGGATGCGACCCGCGGGAGCAGAGCGGAGGGGGTGTTACTGAAAGGTGTCCTTTTGCCTTTGGCATAGAAAGGGGATGTCATCCACATCATCGCCAAGCCCCCCGTAGGCACGTGGACGGGCCTCCTGAACAACAAGATGGGCTCCTTCAAATTCATCTACGTGGATGTTATCCCAGATGACCCTGCGCCGGTCCTAAAGAGCTGTTCGCGAAGCAGGAGCAAGAGGCCCAAGCCCAAGACTCTGGAGGAACTGCTGGAGCGCATGAACCTGCAGGTGAGAGAGGACCGACCGCCTCACTGGTCGAAGTCTGACACACGTGCATTCATGAACCCACAAATCCAGTGATGTTAACCCAGGAACTCAAAGACTGAGTCCAGGCCATAAGAACAAAGGAGTCCTACTGGATCAGACTAGTGGTCCATCTAGTCCAGCATCCTGTATTACACAGGGGCCAACCAGTTGTGCTGGAGGGCCAATGAACAGGGCATAGAGAGACTTTCTGCTCACATGATCTAACACTGGGGTTCAGAGGTTTGCAGCCTCTGTCCTGGAGGTTCCGTTTATTCACCCTGGTGAACAGCCACTCCCTGAATCTACCTGACCCCGTTTTAAAGCCCACCTGTGCTTCTGGCCATGAGGACATCCACGGGCAGCAAATTCCACAATTAACTGTTGTGTACAGGAACACTTCCTTTTCTACATCCCAAAGCTTAACTGGGTACCCCTGAGTTCTAGCGCTATGGGAGAGACCAGTAGCCCATCATATTTGCGTATGCATACCAACTTTGCTTTCCTTGTAATGCACAGAAAGGGAACTTGAGCAGTGCCCCACAGAGCACATGCGAGCTCCGCTCATTGCTGACGTTTGGGAGATTCCTTTTCAAGCGTGGCAGAAAGCAGAAGTGCTAATATTCTGGCGTAGCTGCCTTCTGATTCATAAGTGGCAGTGCCTTCTTCAGAAAAGCTCTGGAAACAACATTCTAGCTCTTATCACATTGTTCCCTTCAAGCCTCAATACTAGCTTTTACTTTCTCCATTAAGTGTCCAACCCAGAAATTCTGTTTCTCTATTAACAGCACTTCCCCTTTGGGTCTTCAGAGCAGGGGTGTCGAACATAAGGCCTGGGGCCCCGATTCAGCCCTCCAGGGCTCTTATGTGGTCCGCGGGCAACTGATGCGAGGGAGGAAGTGCTGGGGGGGAGTGGGCAGAGCCACTCCGCTGTGGCTTCAGCATGGCGGAACCACCTCATCTGCGGCAGCGTGGGAGCATCTGCCCAGCACTACACGGCTGCCTCTCCAGTCCGCTCATATGGGTTTTCCTTTGCACCCCCCTCCCAGCCCAGGGGGCCCTGCAGTGAGGATACACCAACTCAGAGCTTACCAGCTGCTGTCCTTTATACAGTTCCTGTATAAAGGACAGGAACTGCTGGAGCGCATGAACCTGCAGGTGAGAGAGCTTACCAGCTGCTGTCCTTTATACAGTTCCTGTCTCCGGTACCTGGCACACACGGCCTGGCCTGACAAAGTGACACTTATGCCAGATCCGGCCCTTGTAACAAATTAGTTTGACACCTATGCTTTGACTTCAGCCCACTGCCTGGAAAGCCCTGAAGGACCAGCAGGGCTCGCTTCTTGAGTCAGACCTCTGCTGCATCACGCTAACCTCCTCCTAACTCACACTGGGCCCAGGCCTCACCCCGCCATTTGTAGTTCTGCACGGAACTCTTGCAGAGCCAGTTTGGTGTAGTGGTTAAGTGCGCGGACTCTAATCTGGGAGAACCGGGTTTGATTCCCCACTCCTCCACTTGCACCTGGCTGGATGACCTTGGGTCAGTCACAAGCTCTGGCACAGCTGTCCTTGAAAAAGAGCAGTTTCTGTCAGAGCTCTCTCAGCCCCACCTACCTCACAGGGTGTCTGTTGTGGGGAGGGGAAGGGAGAGGAGTTTGTAAGCCGCTCTGAGACACCTTTGGGTAGTGAAGGGTGGGGTGTAAATCCAATCTCCTCCTCTTCTTTCCCTCCCAAACGGCAGGAGGTTTTAATTGGGCTGCTATGTGAAACCATTCTGCAACCATCTCCCTGCACTTTCCCACACCTGTTTTGGTACAGTCTTTCCCATTAAGATCATACTAGAAGTATGAACAGGAAGGTTCCACCTGCCAGTCTGCAAACTCATGACGCTAGAGGCAAAACCCCCCCGCTATGCCTCCTCTCACATTCAGTACCGTTTCCGTTGTAACTGCCATCTCCCAGTAGATATACTGCTGCGTGTCCTAACACTATCATGATATTCCGACTGCCATTTTTAACAGAGGCAAAAAGCACACCAGAAGGGTGGGGGGGGGGGCTGGAATGGCAGGCACAAGACCAAAATACACAGGAAAAACCCTATGGATCAATAGCCTTTAGATTCATAGCGGCATTCAGAACAAAATGGGGAATTGCACCCATGCAAAAGCAGCCCTAGTGTAGCATTTAAGGCTCCCTTGGGCAGGCTTTATATTGTCGAGATTCTCTGTGAACTCAACAAGGATGAGGTGGTAACCGCAGCAATAAATGCAAGGTTCTGGGGTTTTTTGGAGTATTTTTGCATTGTGTGTGTGCCTGTGCATCATGGTGACCTCTGGCAACTCCTACTGGGGCATGGAGAACGTTCAGAGAAGTGGTTTAATAGCCTACCTCTGCCTCCCGGCCCTGGTATTCCTGGGAGGTCTCCCATCCAAGCACTTGCCAGGGCTGGCCCTGCTTCGCTCCCGAGATCGGGCTTGCCTGGGCTGACCAGCTCAGGGCCGACAAATGCAGTTCTGAGGTCTGATAATACAGGTGGGCTGATCTCCCCTCCCCTCCCCTCCCCTCCCCTCCCCTCCCCAGGAGTACGCCTCCACATTGCTACTGAACGGCTATCAGACCCTGGAGGACTTCAAGGAGCTGCAGGAGACTCACCTGAATGAGCTGAACATCACGGACCCCCAGCATCGTGCCAAGCTCCTCACCGCAGCAGACCTGCTGCTCGATTACGACAGTAAGCGCTGCCCGAGCTCGGCTCTCTCTCTTCTCTGGGGGCTCCCCCTGCTACACGGACAGATCGCTCCGGAGGGAAGGACTTAGTGGCCGCGAGTGCTGGCCAAAGCAAGCAGGGACCCTGGGCTCCTCCACGGTTGCTACAGCCATGGCTTCTTATGCTAAGGCCAGGCTAACCAACTGTGGGGAGCAGGCCGGGGGGGGGGGGCGTGATGAGAGCTACCCGGAGTCCTTACTAGTCTCTCCCATGCCTGCCAGCTCGGTTCACCTTTTTCCGTAACTTCTTTCTCCCCACAGCAAGCAGCGAAGCTGAAGAAGAAGGGGGGGGCTCAGAGCTCCAGCTGGCCCCTGAAGAGCCGAAGGGGGACATCCCTCGGGATTCCGGCTGTTTTGAAGGGGCGGAGATGCTGGACTCCAAGTTAGAGGAAGGACTGCAGTCTCTCTCGCTGTCGGGGTCATTCTGAGCGGAGCCCCTCCCCCTCGGGCCGCCCTTGCCTTGGAGCCAGAAGTCCCTCCCGGTTGCATTGCAAGGACAAAGCACCACCTCCTTCCTTGGACGAGCCAAGCCCCCCAGCCGGCCAGTCCCATCACCAGGCCTTGCCCTTGAGAGTGTTTCTTTGCGTTTAGAAACAGGCTGTGCTTCACACGTTTTTTGCAAGCTATGGACGTAAGCTGCCCACCACCCAGAATGCAATAAAGGTGCTACTGAGCTGTGTGTGACTGAACTGTGGTGGGCTAACATGGTCTCTCGCCTCCCCTGTCTGGAACTGAGAAAATCTCCTCTCCCCTCTCCCGGTGGGGGGGTCGCCACTTCAATCCACAGCAGAGCAGCAGGTACTCGGGTGCCATGCTTAACACAGCACAAACTTCTGAATACAGCCTCTGTGGCTCCGCCCCTTCCCCACCCCCAGTCTGTGCTGTATGACAGGAAGAGACTCCTCGTGGGACTGAAAACAGCAGCCTCCACCAAGCCAGAAGACTACGCAGCAGCAGCCTGCCCCGGCTGAGAAAAAGAGAAGAGGATGGACTTTTTGCTTCTTTTGCCTTTGAGTACATCAGACTCGTTAATAAATACTTGGATACTACACATAGTAGGGCAAAGTAAGGGCCAATACCAGGCAGGTGCGACTCCCGGAGCACCACTGGGACGAAGCAGTGGGCACCTTCACGGGGTTCTGCTGCAAGAAGTGCTTGACTCTGATCCCCGTGATTCAGTCTGTGGTATAGGACTCGCAATAAAACACGCCTTGCTGCCTAGCAAAAGCATTGCCTCTCATCTTAAGGATCAAATCATGACACCTTTGGGGAAGGGCGGGTATCTAGAGGAGTGAGTGATGACTTCTTAACAAAATGTTGACTCCTGCTTGTGGTCCATCACCTCAGCCTCTGCCCCAGGTGGTCTAGGGGCCTCCTCCAAAGCCCAGCTTTTGGAGAACAGGAAAACCATGGGTCCTCCCCAAGCAGGGCCTGAGGATTCTGACGACAATATGACACAGGCAACAACATGACACACGTCGCTGCCTGCTCGTGTTAAGCGAGGCCAGTGCCCTGCCAAACCTATGGGTTCTGTTAAGTAGTTTCCCTTGTTTTCTGGAGGGCAGCAGTGGAAGGTAATGCTCAACTGAAGCTGGTCTGGGCCACAAACCCTAGCACGAGCGGGAAGCAGGAAACCCGTGTAGTTAGACCCTGCGCAGTCCAAACTGGCACACAGGGGAAAAAAGCACACATACAATATAATCTAAACGAATTCCAAAGCCTTCATTGAGATCAGAAGAACACACTGAAGCCCCAAGGCAGCTGGGACCATCCTGCTCCCTGGAGCCATTTGACACAGTAGATTAAAAAAAATGTACCCCAAACAAGACTGTCGCAACACTGGTGAGATTTGGTCGATAACACGGGTGATTGGCGGAAGTCTCTGCCCTGGACTCGGGAAGGAGGGCAACACAAAGGCAGAGGGACACGGCTGGATGCGCACCGGCCTGCTCTTAGCTTGCAGCAGGGGCGGCAGGCAAGATGATGTCACACAGACCCCACTCTGTGTTAGCCCAGCAGCCCCACGTCAGTAGCTGGGGACGTGGCCGAAACACTCTCTGATCCTTCCTCGCAAAGAGAACGAAGGCAGAGGAATACTGTGTGTGTGTGTGGGGGGGGGGAGTGTCCCCTGGCCCAAGTGGAGCTGGAATTCTCACTGCCCTGAGACGAGTAAGAAATCAGACTTCAGTGGCTCGATTCAGGTTTAGGTTCAGGGCCCTGGGAAGGAAACGTAGCTATTTCCAGTCCCCTTTCTTTCACTGAGGGTCTGCCTCTGAGAAGGCAGAACCCTCTGCCAGGAGAGAAGAGGGGCAATCATCTATACCCCCCAGGGAAAATGGAACAGCCGTTTGGCTTGGTGATGGTGGAACCACACATACAGAATTAAAAGGGGTTTTTTGAACTCTGCCTTTCAGAGAGCGGCTGGGGGTGGGGCGGGAAGTACTTTTTTTGAATAGTCCTACACAAAAAATGTCTCCCTGCCACGGAAAAGTAGCATGTCAGTGAACTGGAGTCTCAACTGCATGATAAAGTTATTGTGAGTCCAGGGCTGCTTTTGTGTGGGAGCACACAAAAAAATAACTCCTCACCAAGAGTCTGTATAGCTCAGTCCAGGAAACACAGCCCCATGCAGTTTCACTATGCAGTTCATCTCCAAGAGCATGGAGACAAACTGAAACGGCACAGAAGGAAACCCCATTAGCCACTTATTTGTGGCATCTGACACATCCGCCTGGAGCAAGGAGACTCCCCAGGCAGCCCTAGTTTGAGCCAGCCCCCTGCATCATATATACAAAGAGTGGGTTGGAGGAGACAAGATGGCATGGAAAGAACAGTTACCGCAGAGCCAAGCAATATCTAGAGTATCACTTTGCACTGAATGCAGAGTGCTGAGATTTATAGGCCTTGGAACAGAGCCCGCATCTCCTACACTTCTGCACAGTAATGGCACCTGGTCTTTTTTTCTTTTTCTTAAACACCTCTTGGCTCTCTTGCAACTTTGGGATCCCAGGGCCCACCTATCTTTTCAGCAGCCATGGCTGAACTGAGAGCCAATTCAAGCACTAATACAGGAAAAAGAGAGAAGTGGGTGGAGAGCAGAGAGTGACGGAGACAAAGAGACATACAGACCGCACCAGAGATTCCCGACATAATTGACGGAGGGGGCCGAGACCACAAAGGACTCTGGATTCCACCTTCTGACGATGCTGTGACAAAGGGCCACTGGGGGTGCCAGCCAAGCTCCTGTATGGCACTGGTAATTAGGGAACATTTAGGAAGGGTCCTGCTTTGGCAGCTGGTTGGCCGTGCGTCCCACCAGCAACCTGGCTCCACTGGCAAGGTCCTCCCAACTCAAACAACGGGCAATATTGCAACCACAAGACAGGACGGAATGCTGCCGGCCAGTAGTGTCTCCTTCCCAGCAGGCTCCACGCTTCAGCAGTGTCAAGGCCAGGGCCGGAGAGGCACTCCACTTAGTGTCAGAGACTGAAGACGGGGGAAGAGGACCCTGCCCCAGCCAGCAGCCATGGCCTCCTGAGGGGGGAGAGGCTCTCAGCAGCACTATGGGTGCTCAGCATCCATCAGGAAGGGAGCGCAGGCATACTTCCATGTCAGTCGGTAGACACTGGTTATCACCACTGATGAACAAACAGCTGGGGGGGGAACAGGAAGGCCACCGTCTGCCCAGCTGTCCCCGTCCCTGTCCCCCCTGCAACTCCACACAGAGTACGCCAAAACAAAAGCAGTGTTCATGTCCACTCCAGTGGCTAATGTGTTGGCTGACCACGATCCACGGACGGAACAGATTGCTCCACAGCAGCAGGTTGCTGCACCATTTCTTGTGGCACTTTGCACGTTGGCACAGGGAGCTGGAGAGAGAGGGAGGGAGGGAGAGGGGGGAAATGCTTCAGAGGAGAGGCCAATAACAACAAATTATCCTTCAAAAACTAAAGAAGAAGAAGAAAAGAGATTGGATTTATACCCCGCCCTTCACTACCCAAGGGAGTCTCGGAGCGGCTTACAAACTCCTTTCCCTTCCCCTCCCCACAACAGACACCCTGTGAGGTAGGTGGGGCTGAGAGAACTCTTGACAGAACTGCTGTTTTTCAAGAACTGCTGTGCCAGAACTATGGCTTGCCCAAGGTCATCCAGCAGGTGCAAGTGGAGGAGTGGGGAATCAAACCCGGTTCTCCCTTATTAGAGTTCATGCATTTAACCACTACAACAAACAGGCTGCCAACCCCTGTAATTCTGGAAATTCCTCTAAGATTTTGCATACGGGGCCAGATGTCGTGCATGCTAGAAACCGTTACCCAAGGAGCCCTCCATCCATTTCCCCTGCCCACCAACAGAAGGGAACTGCTACTGCCAAGTCTGGAAGAACTTCTGCTGAAGACACTACGGGCGAATGGCAGTGCACCACACTTACTGAACTCTCCTCCGTGAGGGTCTGGCCCTCTGCAGGGGCATCAGCAGCTTCCGGGGCACTGGGCTCCTCTGTGCTCCTCTCCACCTGCGTTCTCAGCTCCAGCCCATTGCTGCCCTCGTGGGCTGGATTCTCTTGCGGCAAGATACCCCGTCTATCCAGTACACTGCAAGGAGAATCAAGAAAGCGGAAGAACCACTTTTATCCTCTGCCCAGTGACTGGACCCAGCAAAATGGCCATAATGCAGGCCACGTCCGACCCCAACCTCAACCGAGACTGGGACGTCGAGAGGAGAAACTATGCAGGCGCTAGCCTGGGAGAGAAAGGGAGTGAAAAATGGCTACCCCATATATGATGCAGGAAATAAATCAGCATCTCTTTCATGTTAGCTGTACATCAGTTTAAATGTTCTGCATTCTACTGGGCCCTGCTCCAATGTGCACAATCTCCGGATCAGACCGTTACCTGGGAGGCAGGGGTCCACACAGAACTTCACAGCAGTTTTTCACGATGTTGCCATGGCTATAGGGATTCTGCACACGGTTCTTCCCAGTCCAGGAACCCTTGATCTGAAAGAACAGCGTGAGGCAGAAGGTGCCCCAGAAGAAACCTGAGCCGTTGCCAGCGCTAATCCGCAGGATGGCACCCCCAGTGGAAAGGGCATCTGTCACTTTATCCTGGCTTTCCTGTCATGTTCCTTTCAGAGCATGGCACATGCTGCTCTACTAATTACTTCAGTCCCACAAGAGTCCCTTACTCATTCACAAAACAGTTGGGCTCCAACAGAGTCTGGTATACCCACCAAAGACTCTTTACCGCTCACAGTTCAACAGAAGCTGCTGCCTGGCTGCGTATACAGGCTGAGATGGTGATTATCTTTTTGCCTCATGTCTTTCTCAAATGCTAAGTTACCTCCACTCTTACATTCTGTATTTATTTATTTATTATTTAGATTTTTATCCCGCCCTCCCCGTAGGCTCAGTAAAGGCCATGCTCCAAAAAACACAGGATGCAGGAAAGAAACATATCCAAAATGGCAACAGAAGAATGGAAAGGCTAGAGAGAGTCCTCCCTCCCAAGAAACTAAAATATTTTTAGAAGGGGTCAATTATGTACTGATACAGAAACTTTATAGGTTCAAATCCATCCGGGAAAAAAGGGCACTGTTTCCATGGAACTGAAACCATTGCTGCCTAGAGGAAGAAGAAGAGATTGGATTTATACCCCACCCTTCACTACCCGAAGGAGTCTCAGAGCAGCTTACAATCTCCTTTCCCTTCTCCTCCCCACAGCAGACACCCTGTGAAGTAGGTGGGGCTGAGAGAGCTCTTTTGAGAACAGCTCTGAGAGAACTTGTAACTGACCCAAGGTCACACCAGCAGCTGCCTGTGGAGGAGTAGGGAATCAAACCCGGTTCTCCCAGGTTAGAGTCCATGCTCCTAACCGTTACATCAAACCCTCTCTCGAATGGTAAAGGTCTAGACTCCAAATGGGCTTCCTAGCCAGCATCCCCAATTCACAGTGTTTCTGCTGAGACTGTGGAGACTTAACATCTTGCAGTCCACTGCAGAGCAAGACAGACAGAATGAGCAGGAAGAAGAGGGTCATGCATAAGAGGCTGGAAGAACGTAGGTTAAGTACTCACGTCTTCGTTAGTTGTCTGGTTCAGGGCTACCAGGAAAGTGTGGAAGCCAGTTAAGCCCACCACAGACCACAGAGTAAAGAAGCAGATCAGAACCTCCAGGACTGTAAGCAGTCGAGTTAAGGAACATGAGCCACATGGTAGGCTACTTAGCTTCTCCCTCCACGGCAAGCAGCCCCTCCCATTCCCCAGCATACCAATACTTCAGCTCAATGGAAGAGATGGAAGGCATCTCTTGCCCTTCTTTCTGACCTCTCCTCTTGCAACAGGCAGGTTACAGAGAGGCAGCTGCAGCGGAAGCCAAAAGGATATGTCCCTGGGGTTTCTTTCAGAGTATTCAAGAAGCCAATCTGCAGAGATTCTGGGGGGGGGAGGGGGGGGAGGAAAGTGATCAGTCTACAAAAATCAAATATATCAAGAAAGAGGGCAGGGACCACTTTCCCTTCCCAGGCACCCAGCCAACCTCCGGTAACCCTCACCCCTCCCCTTCAAACCCAAAGACTACCAGGACTCACTCAGGGCCACATAGACAATGTTGAAGGAGAAGATGTAGATGGTGAGAAGAGACAAGGAGAGGATGAAGAGGTAGAAGTAACGGTAGTTCCTCTTCCCAACACAGTTCCCCACCCAGGGACAATGGTGATCAAATCGTTCTACGGGAGAGAGACAAGACAAGGCAGTTAGCATTGCCAGAGCAATACAACACAACTTCCAGCAAGAGCCAGCATGTATGTATCAGAATCCTGTCAACAGGCCAAACATATCGCAGCTCCTTCTCCTATGCCCAGTATGGACTGGTTCGTGCACCCATTTCAGAGATGGAGTTGCCAAGTGCACCACTGCTTTTCCTCTACTATACCACAAGTAAAAATAAATGGTCTTGTGAAAGAGCCCCTTCAGCACCTCTCATGTTACCACAGCCTAAAGAAACAGATTCTCCTCTAGAATTATGCAGATATGGCATCTAGTGGTATATGGATATTAAGGGGAAATTCACATGCTTTGGCCACAGCTTTGCATGCATCTAGTGAAGCTCCACTGTCGGGCAGAACTGTCCTAAAACCTGCTCTGGATTGCAATGCACCCACTGGACCACCTCAAGCACTACCTTGTGATCAACAGGACACAACAGCACAAGATGCAGATTTTCAGCATCCTAGAATCTTTTACCAAGGGAAAAAAAGTCACGTAACTGGACCTCGCAGCTAAAGAGGAAGTCCGATGTTTGCACAAAACTCCTCAATTCCCTTCCATGATCAGCAGAGCAAAATTTATACAAGCCACAGCATCCAGTGTTCCTTGGCAGGGAATTGCTATATTTTTTCAGCATGGTACACAATGGCCCTGCTCATCATTCCTATTACTGTCTGTGAGAAGTCCCTTAATAAGCCTCCTCTCAAGTCAGAGAAACAGCCCCATGGGGCACTGAGCCCAGCTCCACTACTCACCCACACAGTTATCACAAATGCTGCAGTGCGAGGCACGGGGTGGACGGAAGATCTTGCATGTGTAGCAGTACTTCAGCTTCACTATCTGGTTATTGATTTGGAAGTTCTTAATGCGTGGCGGTGGCCGCTGGCCCGGTGGCACGGTTCCATTGGTTGCCTCTGAAGACACAAACCCAATCTATGATTATTGTTCATCCAGGGGTGACAATAACGGATGTGTGCTCATCTTTCAGGGCAAAAATGGTTTCCCCTCCCTCATCATGCTGGAACAGCGAGGAAAGCATTCTCGTGTCCAAAGATCCAGTTTGCTGACTGATCTATGCATGCTGCAAAGTGACAGGCGCCCACTTACCGATCTCCAGCTCAATGAAAGCTGCCTCTTCGGGCAGGGCTCGTGGAATGACCCCAGGATCGCTGAAGCTTGTCCGTAAAAGTGTGGCCATTGCAAAGAGGAAGAGGACCACACCAAAGACAGGGATGGCTGGGGAGAGCTGGACGGCAAGATAGCGACATCTACAGCAAGAGAGAAACCGAGAGGGACTACAAATCAGACACAAAGCCTACTGTGGGCCAAATTAAGCTTTCAGGAAAGAATAAAGATAGTACCATGGCTGAAAAAGTTGACCTCTTAATATATCTCTCCCTGAGGTTTAGTGCCTCCAGAACAAGAAAGACATCACTAGAAGAATCAGGACTGTGCAAAAGGGCTACAAGGCAGTGAAAGCGGGCAGGTTTTTACTTGGAGCCCTCAGTTACTTTCAAGCAATGGTTTATAATCTCTGCCTTTGTTGATGAGAAGAGTATAGAAACATACAAGCAGAGTCCTATGAAGGGACATACTAAAACAAACTGCAGAGAATGCACTTTGTAGCCATTGTTCCTTCCGAATAAACCACAGGAATCAATTGAGTGTCTGGGTGACCATCGGAATATATTTTAAAGCAAGGATAATTGGTTGCATACACTTTAGAGACCATCCCCCACAAAATCAAACAGAAGGCGGAAATCATCCGCCAAGCTTCAAAGTAAATGCCAGACCAATATATCACTTTCTGAAAGACCACCGGAATTCATAGACATGACTGGGATCCTAACGTTCCCTGCGCAAAATCCAGTCTGTGTTTTTGTTGACGAGAGGAGTTTAGAGCGATTCCAGCAGGCTCCAATGAAGGCTTACAACCCAAGGCAATTGATGATGCAGCATCCTGCACTGTTCCCTGGGCTTCTCCCTGTGGCCATTTCTGAAAATTAATCTTGGAATGGAGCTCTACTCCAGTGACAGAAAGTGCCAGGAAGGGTTGTAATTAAAAAGCAGCCCTTTTAAAGGCATGACAGTGCCCAAAATTTACAGGGTTACATAATTTACTCTGGTCCAAGCACCTGACACAAGCCTCTGTAACACAGCCAGCACACAAAGGCTGGACTCTCCCTTTCTATTCCAGTATCTGAGCTCCATGGACAGCAACGCAGAGAGATTCCAAGAAACGATTACTGCTAGAACTATGAAGATTAGAGTGCAGCGCTGCATGGGAACGGGCAAATTGCTACCTTTCTCTTACCAGCTGTCGAAACCCACTGCCAGCTAGCACCTGGGGTTGTAGAACTAGACAGGACAGGACGCAAAGATGTGTGGAACGTGACCATGCCTCCTCAACTCCCCCTTTTAAGGATCCTATCCGTAGGGTCAACCTGATTAAAAAACTGCCAGGCAGCAAGCAAGCTACACACTAAAGAAGGTGGGGACAAAACCAACAGCAGCGCCTCGCAGCAGAGCGCAACACCCAAGAGGGGAGGAGAGGGAACGACCAATCCTCTGGCTGCAGCTGCCAAAGACCGCTCCTCCCCTGCTGCAAGAGCTAGAAGCGGGATGCTGGCAGCTGCTCTGCAGACTTGACTTCCCTGTTGGAGGCCGCAGGGGAACAACCTCTGCACGGAGCAAAAGCCAAGAAGGAGCAGCCGAACGACTCCAGATGTTTCTGCAGCCGCCCTTACCCCTGTGGGCTTGTCTCGTTTATATTCATATCCACGTCAAGGAGCAAATACCTGGTAGGAGCTGCCATTGCACAGTATCTTCAGTTTGCCCCTCTAGTTAAAGTACTCTATGCAAAAGCTCCCACATTCTGCAACCCAGTGTTCTATAAAGACGTGCAGAATGTGTACACATTTACATATTTTGTGTAAATAATTATACTTCTGAGGGTGGATTGTAAATGCATGAGCCTATTTATGAACAGGATTCAGATATACAGAAGACAGACTGGAGTTCATGAGCCAGCAAGGTTAGCTAGTACAGTGTTACCGAATCTGTGGGTCAGGACCCAAAAGTGGGTTGCGAAGCCTCTGAAAGTGAGTATCAGGCCAGCCCTCCCCCGTGGCCACCCCTGTCCTTCCCATTGCTCTTTTTTGTACTTTGGAAACCAAGATCCGATCCTGGAAACAGTATCTTCCATGTCACACATGAGTTGGTATTTTTTCACCACTGCATGTATATGTTGATCAAGTAAAACGTGACCTGGTGGTTACTAGAATGAGTTTTGTAGACTCTTAAGGGAAATTAGTGGAGCTGCGGTGGCTCAAGTGGTTAAGACGCTGAACTGCAGGCTGTGGAAGGTCAGTAGTTCAGCAGTTCAAGACCCGGGTGCCGCAAGACAGGGTGAGCTCCTGTCTCTAGTTACAGCTCCTGCCAACCTAGCAGTTCGAAAGCAAGAAATTGCAAGTAGATAAATAGGTACCACTTCGGTGGGAAGGTAACAGCGTTCCCTACGCCTTGATGTTTAGTCATGCCGGCCACATGACCACGGAAACGTCTTTGGACAGCGCTGGCTCTTCGGCTTTGAAACAGAGATGAGCACCGCAACCCTAGAGTCGGATTCGATTGGCTTTCGAGCAAGGGAACCTTTACCTTTAAGGGGAATTAGAGGGAATAAGGAAGGAGAGGGTGACCACAGGCTGGAATGTACCCCCCCATAGGCAAAGGCTGTGTATGTTGGAATGCCACTTACTTGGGGCTCATAGTAGAGGCAGCTATACCCTTTGTGTGATGGTTGTTGGTTTCTCAAAAACATCTGGTTAGTCACTTGAACTAGAATGGATGCCAAGGCCATAGCTTGCTTAGGGCACAAAAAGACCCTGGTCCAGCCCTGGATGGGTCATGATACCAGGTAAATTTGGGCTTGTGGGTCAGCATCCCGAAAAGGTTGGGAGGCGTCGAGTTCGCAGGCCTGAGAAAGGGAAGGGTCACAAAAGCTTCACATCAGTAGGAGCCAGGGGTGGTTAAAACGGCCCAGGAGCAAGCTGAGTGTCCTCTGTAGTGCTAAAAGCCAGATCTGCAGGGGCCACTTGGCTCAGAACCAGCCAGTGACACCGGTGATGTGTGCAGGTTCCCCCACCGCCTCCTTCCGCACTACAGCCAGCTGCTGATGGTTGGTGCAACTGAGGCGCTAACACCAATCATCGTGGCTGCTGACAGGTCCAAATAAATGGCTCCTGCAGGACTGGCAGAGCTCCTGGGACTTGGCTCTGCTTGCTCCTGGATGCCAGTGGCCCTCTAGGGCAGCAGCCTGGCTGGGAACTTTCTCTGTAAATTAAATGGTTAGTTTACTCTTGCTGGAAGCCCCTTATTAGTTCTCGAAATGTGGCATTTTGAGTGCAGCGACGTAACTCCAGCTATCCTTAATGTTAAACATAAGCATGTGTCTGTCCCTTCAGAAAGCCAGCATGGTGTAAAAGCTACAACGTTGGACTAGGGTCTTGGAAACCCAGGTTCAAATCCTCACTCTGCCATGGAAGCTTACCAGCTGACCTTGGGCCAGGCACCCTCTCTCAGCCTAGCCTACCTCACAGGGTTGCTGGGAGGATAAAATGAATTATCAAAGCCACCTCAGGTCCCCACTGGGGAGTCAGGTGGTATATAAATGAAGTAAGCAGATAAAGAAAGAACTGAAACTCCGGGTACTATTAAAGTTCTAGAGTGCTTAGTGGGAACCCGACAAGAGGATCGAGGATTCATCCTTCACCGTTGTCAGAGCAGCTCATCCCATCCGGGCTACTCTAACCAAACCAGGGAAATTGCAAGTGACCTCACAGATCTACTCATTTAAATGCCTCCCCGATCCTTCCAGGACCACCCCTGGCCCACCTGCCTCAGAGTCACCAGGGGGGTCGCTCTCCAGGCCTTCCCTCTGTAGCCACGCACACAGAGGTTTGGGCTGTACTGGGCGTGGCCCACTCTGAAGCGAGCCGGAACTCCGTTCCTGTGCGTTCCTGCCCAAAAATAGCCCTGGATCTACTCCAGCAGCTATATTCTCACAGAACCCTAAGCTATCTACTTAAAGGCTTTTGGTATTCCAAGCATCTTTCAAAAACTTGTCCCCTATCTGATACGCTACCTTTGGCTGACTAAAATTAAGATTTCAAAACAGAAAACTCGGCCTTTTTAGCAAGGATGGAGTCAGGTGACTCTAGATGAGCCAGCTCAATTAACGTCCCATCAAACCAGTCCCGTACAGCTAACAGACAGAATTTTCCTCTGCACACTAGATTTGGAACGGGGAGTGCAGAGGAAGGACCCCAGCCACATGAGTCTATAAGTCGTTATCATGCACTCTCGGCTAAACAGGAGCCACATTTAGAAAAGTGCTTTTGAGTAGCCGTAACTTCCCCCAACTATCTAGCTGGCCTCTGCTGCCATCCCCTTCTGTATCCCCACCGTAACACCCTTAGATCTGTGAAAATACATTCAATGCCGTCTTCCGCACTGTGAACAAAATTTGTCTTACCAGCTGGTGGGAACATATTAATTTATCATCCCCCCTTTATAACAAAAGGCTTTTAAACCACTCAAAAATTAAATATATTAAAGCCAGCATAAAAGCAACAACATACTTTAAAATTTACAAGAAGTGAGACAGCAATCCATGCACCAGATAAAAAATAGTAACAAAAACAGCAATTAGGAACAACAAAGTGTCACAAATGGACAAAGCCCATGGGGTGGGGGGAAATGTTTTCCCTTAGCACATAAAATTCAAGAAAGTAGCTGCCATGTGAACAGAACGCATCAAGGGAAGGCAACACAGAAAAAGCCAAATTTCCAGTGGTTACTGATCAACCCCTCTAAAAGTGAGAGCATACAGAGCCCTCCCAACAATGATTTCAGAAGTCCGGCAGCAGGCAGAATGTCAGCTCCTACGACAGGAGGCTTGTCCCAACATTTAAGGACTGCATCTTTTAAAAGTACACAAACTCTAACTGGAAACATTGGCACAGAGGACCCAAAAGCATTCCGGAAGTACAATCACATGACTCTGACAAACTCAAACAGGGATTATGCAAATGCCTGATGCTTCAACAGTTTTACATACCACTAGTGCTGCAAGCTATAATTATGAAACCCAACTGGCAATACTTGCAGGTTCACTCTTTATCACCCTTACGTATAGATCTCTGAGCGTGCTGGCAAGGGTAAAAGGAACCTAGAACATATATAAGGTAAAGGTTCCCTTGCTCGAAAG